GTATTCGGGTGCCTACTCTTGGTGCAAGTTGGAGTGCTTGTTGCAACAGCTGTTTACAAACATCATGATCACTTGGTGACTTTTCCATGGGGTTCCGGTTCTCACTTCTGGGACCGGCTTCAGCATTAGGCATTGGCCTCTGAGATTGGTCAGAGGGCACATGCTCAGGATAGCCAGGTGGATTGGTCACCTTGAAAGCCAAACGTCGGCGCTTGACTGCAGGTTCAGTCTCAGCATCTTCCACTTCTTCTGCAAACACAGTTTGGTTGTGAACACAAGATTCTTCAGAAACATTCTTGCTGGCTGCAAACGTTCGGGCAATGCGAGAACCAAAAACCTGAGTATACAATTCTGTGAAGGCTGACACATTCAATCGAAAACCCTTGTGATCTTTAAAGGATCCGGCAACATGGGTGTGTTCATGATTGTGCTGACATCGGAGTGTGTTGAGGTAATGGTGCATGATTCGGGAAGTGGTAAGTACTTGGGTTCCTTTCTGAAGTGCCATATGGTTAATGGGATGTTTAAGGTTTCCGGCCTTGCACAAATCACATCGGGTCAGAAAGGTGTTGGCTACAATCGTCTGCAAACTGTCTTGATACAACATCTCAGATCCAATTGGTTGTTCAAGATGGAAGTGGAATTCAGGTCCACGATCACTTTGCAGAGTGAAGACGGCTTCACACAGCAGAAGATGTGGTTCATCTTCTCGCCGAGCACGCATGACTTGGCTGGCCATTGCAGCTGAGCGATTGGCATTGAACTGATTCCAGCGACACCAGGCCTTGCATTTCATATGTTAGGAGGCCGATACTTGAACAGCACATGATACAGTTGAGCTCTGCCTTCAAAATTACTCAGATCACCCTCTCGCAGGCCGAATCGCATGGCTCTGAGACCCTGACGAATGCACTGTTTGGTCAACTGACTTTCGGATGAGCAGTAGATTTCCAAAGAGTCAATACCCGGATGTTGGGGCCCTATCAAGGAACCATCTTTTGCGATCCAGCCATTGGACACTCCAAACTGCATCATTTCTTTCAGAATCATGTTCTGTTGATAAGGCTGACGCGTTTGACCGACAAAAACTGGATGATTGTTGTTTCCGGGATTGTTATGGAAATGATTATATTCTCGGATGCACTGCTCAATCAGAAAGGTTTCGGCATTCGTGGCTAATTGGAGCTCGGAGCTGCGGTGAGGTGCTGAGACAACATCTTCAGTTGATTCACCACTTCGCTCAGTACCCCTTCCAGATGATCGAGCCTCTGTCTCGTCCTCCTTGATGCTCCCATGTTGCTGAGTGAGATGATCCCAACATTCGTCGTCTTCCAGTTCGAGATCGATTGGAATGGGTGGCATCGATGGTCTCCCAAAGCTCTTGGCCTTGGCCTTGGGGCACACATTGGAACTTGCTGGAAAGTTTCCAGTCTGTGGCTCTTCGGGGTTCTCTAAGCCCAGGGTGGCTTCTTTGCGCTCCACCCACATCATCAGGTATTGGCAGAACATACGGTGTTCGGCTTTGAGACTGTTGCCCCATTTCTTCAGGAACCATCGGCAGTAGGTTGGGTCCTTCTGCACTACCTGTCCAAACTTCTGCCCCTTCTTGGCTTCTCCGAACAGAATGGTCTGCTGACCCAACTCCTCGAAGGACATCTTCTTGAGGGCTTGCTCTTGGTTTTCCTGATTCTGGAAGGCACTGACGGCATCGAATCGGGACACTAGATCGGTCGTCGACATGGCACTTGTCAACGGCACGGGTCTCGGAGCTGACACGCGTGGTCTTTGGGACGGGCTCGAAACTTGAAGACTGTGACATCGTGGAATCTTCAACACTCTCGGAAAGATCATCACTGGGCATGTCATGTCTGGTAGATACTTCAGAATCAGTCTTGCTTTCAAGGGTCTTGGGATTCTGATCAAATTCCGGTCCACTTGATTTCTGATACGGTGAGTCGCATGACAGCGGTGCTTGAAACTCTAGAGATGGTTCCACTTCCGAACTATGCAGGATGGTCTCAGCAGCGATCAGGCGACATTTTGTATTTCCACACGTTGACATCGACTGCGGCGGTCGGCAGGCAGTGAGAGCACAAAAGTCCAGCATGAACAGTTTCCTGCTTGACAATTCAAGAGGCAGCTCGCAGTTCAGAACCTTGAAAAAGATGCTTTGTTGATTGGTATCAATCACAGCCCCCAAACTACGACACACATTGTTTGAAATCAAGAAGGGTGTTTGGGTCTCAACAATTGCAATTTTGATCCAAAAACGATCAACAGGCACTAACAATGCACGATGACATGGGACAATGCTGTTGTTACCAAAACGAAAAGACATGCTAACTGGCCGTTCTTGAACAAGCTCTCGGACTGGCTTCGGCAGGTTTGCAAGAAACTCCGGTACCTGATGTTGTCCCATGACAGACTGTGAAGCTCCTAGATCTAGGATACCAGTGGTCAGAGTGGTCGCAAACAGGGCAATTTCAGGCTGACTGGCAATCACAGTAGTTGTTCTCTTCTCAGGTTCTGTCATGATCTTTGAGGTCTCAGGCACGGAAGGCACGCACGGTTCAAAAGATCTACCATCGGCTGTCCTCTCCGTTTCGAGAGAGGGGGTTGCACGGATGCTCTCAGCTTCAGACATCCTGGCCGGTTGCTTGTTGTGCTGGCTCAGACGGAGGCGAGTCATGCATCGACGAACATCGGTGAAAAGCTTACCCCTTACCCGAAATTTATGGTTATTCCGGATGTTATCCCCATTATCATGAACACTGTGGAAAATGAAGTGAGACTTAGGGGAGTGTGATTCTTTCCCAACAGCTGACGGGTCCTGGACAGACACGACGACATCACCTTCTGGCAAGGTGTCAGGCATCATGACATACACGTCGGCATCTTCATCCATCTCCCGTCCAGCGGAAATCACGGTGTTGGCTGCTTGAACTTTGTTGGGAGGATTGGATGAACCTGCATTCGACGCCCGACGTGGGCACTCAGCTTTCCAGTGGCCTCTTTGGCCGCAAAGGCGGCAGTCAGACTCTGCAATCCGGAGTGCAAGTGGCTTTCGGTTTCTCTGAAACCCCGATTTGAACTTGCCCTTTTTGCCAACCCCTTTTCCACGGATTGGCCAGAACCCACGGCTGCGAGTCTTTTCTGTGAGGCGTCGTCTGGCTTCCAAGTAGGTACTCATGAAAGCTGTCATTTCACCATCGCTCTGAACTGAGTCAATCAAAGCATCTTCAAATTGTTGTATCACAAGGGCATCTTCATCCCCTTCACTCAAAAATTGATCCAGCATCATGTCAGAAACTTCGGACGCATCAGCTGCGAAGACCTGGTTAGAATCCTCCCCATACTGATACTCATCTTCGGCTTCCTGAGTGTAGTTCACATCATAAGTCTTGGTCTTGTGTCCACGTTGTTGACCCTGCACATCCATGAAAAACTTGGCTCCCAGCATCCTGATGGCTTGTGTCACATGTTCATACTTGAGATCACCTTTGGCTTCCACAATCAGACGTTTCTTGTCCTCCGCACTCAACATACTGTTTCGCAACAGCACATATGCACGGACATCTGTTAAAGTGGCTCCCTGTGATACCATGTCCTCAAATACGATCTCATGTCTTGCCATGTAACTTTCGTTACTTTCATCAGATTTCTGGGATATTCCATAGATGGCTCGTTCGAACTTCTCCTCCAATGTAGTCTTACCCCACACACCGCCCAAGGTCTGTACCAGCAGTTTGACACCTGTGAGGTCATTGGTCTTCAATTTCTCTGGAGGAATGCGAACTACCTTCTGAAAAGCTGACCCTTTGCATTGGAGAGCCGCCCTTGGTGCTAACTGTCCTAGATATTCAGCTGGCCACAAACCGGCGAGGAATTGTAGGCGTCTTGTGTATTCGGTCAAATCAGATTCTCCTGGTTCGAATGTTGGCATCAAATGCCATGGGAGATGGGATGCAGGACCGGAAGGCGTCTGGCTAGACTGACCGTCCCCATCTGCACCATCCATCGACATCTTGTCTCAAGCACAGAAATCCACGCTCGATCTGCTCCTTTCCAGGAACACGCAAGGACCTATGCAGAGGTCGGCAAAGGAAAAATGCCTTATGCCACAAAATTGTTTGGCCACCCTGCAGCCGGATTCCTGAGGAGCTCTTGGCTCCGCTACCAATGTGAAACTGGTAGGGCGCCCTCGCTTCCAGTCAGGTTCCACCAAAAAGATCCACTGAGGGAAGAAATCGGTATCCACACCAAATGAATGTTGATATGATCCACCTGAATAGCTCTGTCACTCCAAATGGTATGTTCGCCAGCCACGCCTATGGCTCAATCACCAAACAAGCCGCTGCGCCCCGGGCAGCCAAGAGTTCTCACCTTTTTGGAACCCGCCTCCTACGTACAACTCCCTGTCTCGGGCCTACGCATCGGAAATGGCCGATCGGATGATTGTGCATGTAGGCATTTGGCAACCCTAAGTCTGACATGACAGCATGACGACAGACCCGCTGGATTAGTTGGGAAGGTTATTGAAAAATCACAATATATATAGAAATATATATATATACAAATATATATATATAGAAATATATATATATAAATATATATATATATAGAAATATATATATATAGAAATATACATACACTTGTATTAAAAAAAATGTAAATACATTTATGCATGCTGCCATAGTTACATCCTTATTTGCTTTGTATTTGCGCATGTTTTTCATGTACAAATACGACATTTGCATACATAGAATATTATATATATATGAAAAGAAAGAAAATTCAAGACTTATATGTCACATGTATCTCTACAGATATTTACAGTCTATCTCAAACATGTATTTGCAAGTTTACCTTTGTGACACATCCACATATGTATGTACTGATGGCATTTATCGATCTATGTGCAAATCTAAATGTTTATTGATATGACATAGGTTGGTCAGGTGAAATCAATATGACTCAGTTTCAATCAACCCCCCTGAGTCCTTCATGATGCGGTCGTACATATCCAAGTGTTCTAGCTGGTGACAGTGCCTCAGAATCCACGGCCCGACCCGCTCAAAAGACATTGGGGTCAAGACAGCGCCTCTGCCTTTGCAGAGATGTGAAACGGGTGAAGACAAGAGGTGACACAGAAATCTAAGACAGGCACCTTTACATATTGCACGGCAGAAAGCAGTAGGAATCAGGTTTCAACCGGTCTTTTCGCCAAAATTTTGACTACTATCCCTTTGGGAGGAGACTTGCAGGAGAAGGTTCAGCCCCATTTCGCCAACATGTGGCAGATCGAAAATAGCCCCACTTCCGCTTTAGCCTCTGAAAGTCAAACAGTTTGCTACAGAAAATTGACCAGTTCTAGTTGGTTTACCTTTTGACAAGGCTGCGTTAAATTAGCAGGGGGAAGCATGTTTGAAAGCAACATGCGTCTTTTCAGTCCCAGTCAAGCCGTCCGCATCCCAGAGGTCTGGCAAAAAACTCTTGATTCACATCCAAGACAAGTTGCTGACCTAGTGCCAGAATACCCTCATCAATGGGGCTGATTTGAAACCCGCAATCGTCTGCATTGAGGTGAACGATTTGAAGCAAAGGACATGCAGCTACCTTGAATTGTTCCAAGGTGTCATGAAAAAGTAAAGATTTTCAAAAAAACAACTCAAATAGACTCCCCAAAAAGGTATGAGATTCGCAATAGATTGCGATTTGTGAAAAATGAAGGCTGCCAAAAGTTCGTCTTCCGCAAATCCAGGCTCCAGCTGTGCAAATTGTTTTCCATCGATCTGCTCCCAATAGTTGACGCTCAGCGAAAGAAGGTTAGTGCAACAGTGTTTCATTTCCAACAGTGACGAAATCCTCAGAAGATCATGTCATCATGAAACCAAGGTGTTACTGGGATGCATGCACAAGAGCTTGACACATGAACATGAACAAGGAGTGCGACACGGCAACCACAAAAAGCATGCACGAGAAAAAACATGAACCTGCAACCTAAAAGCTGACAAAGTAAACATCAACAGGAAAAGTGACATGAAACGCCAAATAAACGGGAATCAATCAACCTGAAACTTAAAACAATAATCGCAACATCGAATGTGTGCATATATATACATATGTATATATATAATATCCCCCTTGCTTAATGGGTATCCACCTCCACCTGGGCATTTCATAAATGATATGCATTTTTAGGCATTTATAAAATGGGTTGCCCTAGGAAAATCACATTTCTGCAATATAAAATGCAGGTATAGTGTAACATAAAAACTTGGGGGTTTTATGAAATGCCAACACGTCCATAACTGAAAATATCCCGATACCATGTGTTTTATTTTTTCATTTATGAAATGCCAGGGTTCATTTTTGGGACTTGCAACAAACACCGCTATAAAATGCCTTGATGCCAGAAAACCCCTTCCAAAAAAAAATACATCTATGCCATCTGTAAAATGTGCTTAATGGCAAATGGCGTCAAAACTAAAGAAAACCACCAAATTTGGGATACCCTGTGTTAAGTCAAACCCAAACTAGCCGCATGGTTACGCACTGGCAGCATGTTCAATTACAGGTTAGGTAGTTGCAGAAAGTCAAATCAACGTAGGTAATCAAGCCAAACATTTGAAATTTCAAATGGCACGCAATGCTTTTTTTTTTATTGTTGGAAATATACATTCACGTGCAATCTCCTCAACTCCTACACTGTGTCCTATAAAATGCCCTTTCTGGAAACTGGTGGGGAAATACCAATGAATGCCAGGACAAAGCATTTTATAAATATGCCGGTGGTCGCATATATATATATATAGATGTCTTAAACTTATCTGGGCTTTGTTCTATAAAATGGATTCCAGTGAAAAGAAGACTAGAAATACCAGCCATCTTCAGATAAGAGCATTCTATAAATACAAGAAAGGGCGAGAATGAGCATATAGACATCTGCCTGTCTTCAGGATAATTCCCAATTTGGTTCTATAAAATGCCTTGCTTCTTCAGAATGTAGGAAAATGCCCAGGAATTACCCGGCAAAGGCATGTTATAAATACCATGGTGTGACGACTCGGAGCTGGGGTGCAACAGCTCTGGCCCAGAAACCCACGGAGAAGCTGTATCTGAAAACCGGGGATCCCCCCATTCCATGGTTTAGAACTTCATTTTTCCAGACACCCCCAACATCCCTAAACATCATATTGCTGGTCAACATGAATATTCAATTCTATCCCATTTCACCTCTAAAAAATGGTGTTTGTGAACCATGTTTATTTCTTAACCAAGAATTAACCATACATAACCAGGTAAAGCCCAATTCTTGTGACGCCAAGGCACAGGCTGAAACTGCCACTGCTTAGACCATTGTCCATCCGACACAGGCGACAGCCCACAGCTTCCAGGACTGCGGGATCCACAGAGGAGGCCTATGCAGATTATGACAGATGACTTGATAGATGACTTGATAGATGACTTGATAGATGACTTCTGAAGATGTTTTCAATGAAAATATGATAGTTGTTGATTATGTATGTGATAGTTACTTCTTGATATGATAGATTAAATTATGATAGTTACTTTTTAACCATAAACCGACCTCTCCCAATTGAAAACACTGAAAAAAAGTCAAAAAGCAAGATAATTTCAAGGCTGTCTCGAAAGAGATGCGCAAGACCACCCAAAATCATCGTTTGCTGCGGCTCCATGGCATGACAAGGATCTGGTCGTATCAACTGCCTGTGATTACAAACCGGGTCCAAAGAGGTGTTTCCATAAATGGGGGTGCCCAAAATGGATGGTTTATGATGGATGATTTAGGGGTACCCCTTTTTTAGGAAACCTCCATACAATCGATTTTCCCATCATCAAAGTGGTCCAAAGAAAAGAAGTGCAAAAATCGTGGCCGGGCCTCCACCGCGATGCATCCGGCCACACAGTTCTTCAAGGCCTGCACCAAGGGCCCAACGTTTTCAGAGAGCGCCGTGGATGGCTCGTCCTGGCAGTTGCAATTTAAATGACTTCATGGATGGGTTATGGGGTCAAAATCTTGGTACTTCATGGATGTTGATTTCCCTTAACATGGTAAGAATAGGTGTTGACTCCCCAAATGGGGTTCTGAGGGGTTCTAATGGTACCAAAATTCTAATTTTGAGAATCAACCCATGTTTTTTGCCCGAAACATGTTTACCTTTATGGGGTTCCAACTCCTTTGAAACAGTTGCATATCTGGGCCGCGTGATTTTGCTTGTGTCTCAAGGCTTGAGTTTCTGGGTGTATGTTTGCCAGTGCGCTTTTGTTGCCTTGGGCCGCATGATCTTGCATTTGTCTCCAAGTTGTCTCCCTCTTGTCCACTTCTCTCCGGGTAAGCTGTAGGTGCCTTGAGCTGCATGATGTTGCATCTGTCTTTGACCTGTATTCCACATGTTTCCCAATACGCTGTGGGTTCTTTGGGCAGCATCATTTTGCACTTGTCTCCCAATTATCTGCTACTTGTCTTCCACTTGTCTCCGAGATACTGTGGGTGCCTTAGCCGCATTAGTCTCCGTTGTTTTCTTGGGAGCCTTGGGCCGTGATTTTGCACTTCTCCCATTGGTGTCCCACTTGTATCCCAACCGACTTGTCTCCCACTGGAACACTTGTCTTTCACTTGTTCCTCTCGTTCCGTCTTGCGTGTGTCTTCTAGCTCGCTGTCGACGCCTTGCATCACAATGTTCTTCCATTTGTCTTGTGCTTGTCGTACGCTGCAGGTGCCTGGGTCCGCATGATTCCCCAAACAGTTCCATTGAAAAGGAATCCCTTTGTGTTCCATTTGTCTCCCACTTGTGCTCCATTTGCCTGCCATTTCTGTGCTGTGGCTGCATTGGGACCGGAGAATTTCCTTTGTTCTCACTGGTCTCCCACTGCACTTGTCTACCACTTCTCTTCTTGTCTGCAGCGAAATTGCGGCCAAACAATTTCCCTTGCCTCCCACTTGTCTCTGTGCTGTTCTTGGGACGGAAGAATTTCACTTGCCTACCCCTTGTCGCTCACTTGTTCCACATTTCTCCCAACTTTTGTCTCTGTTTCCTGCTTGCCTTTCAAATGCCGTCGCTCTTTGTTTGAATTCTTCTTTTTTTGCACCCATCACCTATGGCCAATGGTTTTCATGACCGGCAACAATCGGCCCTTGATATTTCCTCTTTCTGTTTGGGATCTGGTATAATTTCATTCTCATTTTTTTGAGACACATTTTGGGTTTGCCTTAAAACAAAAAGAACTGCAGCCTGACTTTTTCATGTTTTTTCAACATAGCTGGAATTTCTGGAAGGCTTTCTCCTCATCCTCAGCCATCAGACCAGGGCAGATCAACAGTGTCTCGACTTTGAGTTGACAAATCCTGTGGAGCCAATGATGCTGAGCACATCGGGACGTCGAACGATGGCCGTTTCAGGCTTTAAGGCATTGTCATGCTAGATACAACGCGAAGGTTTGCTAGATTCGTTGTATCGCAGCGTCACTGCAAACTCTATCAATCTTGAATCTTGAACATGTTCTGGCCTCCAAAAACGCTGAAGCTACAACCTCAAGTAGTGCAATGGGCAAACTGGGCTATGTCCCCACCCAATGATCCTTCACCGGTTTTAACTTAAGCGCAGCCGGGTGTCTCACAAATCAGCTGATTTCCCAAATCCTTGGTGGAGCCCAGAAGCCAATATCGCTGTGAGATCAACGTCAGGTTTTGTTGCAAGGATAACGGCAAAAGGTCATTAAGTTCTTGGGAAAATGCTGTAATTACGTATACATTTATACATCTGTACATGTTTATATGATTATGTATATCAACATGCGGCTACAATCACTATAACTACTATGATTCAAAACCTGCCCCAATCTAGCGGTGAGACCGGCGGCACCCAAATTTTCTCTGGGATGGATGTCCCATCGGAAGCCTAGAATGGTATGATTTAACCAGGCTTCATTTCACAGGAATGGGGGATTAATGACCATTTAACCAGCCCAAAAATTGGATAGTTTGCTAAGTTTACTACTGAAAATTTCACAATGACCAGTCCACTTGTTGCCCAAGGAACCCTGCGCACTGCACACATGGTTGTTCGACGAAGTCGCATGATGCTGAATTCCCTGGCTAGCTTTGGAAGCAGAGTAGATACCTATCTATGTATATAATATATAATATAATATAATATAATATAAATATAAATATAAATATAAATATAAATATAATATAATATAATAATATATATATATCTGTGTGTGTGTTATGTATACATTATGTTGAATCTCAAAGAAGAGACATCATCAATGTCATGAATGTCATCAATCGGTCCTTTGCTTCGCCGAGACTCGCCAGTTGCCACTTGGCCGGCAAAGACTTTGAGATTTTCCAACTTGGCCAAAAGTTGGATGCTTCCTGGTGGGATGGATACCCCAATGCCAAAGAGGTGACTATTAGTGGTGGTTTAAGAGTTTAACCATGGTGACTATTGGGGAAAGAGAGTAATTTGATTTAACTCGTCTTTTGTGTGAGAATAATGGTGGTTTAATAGTTTCATAATTGCCCCTCAACTCTCGGTTTGATACCCACACAAGGTTCCTAAACCGATATGCTCGGGTAAATGGAAACGTATGGAAACAAATGTGTCGTGCTGGAGGGGTCCGTTGGGTATACCGCCAATCTACCTATATATACATATACATAGGTGGTTGTTCAATGGAGAGTTACCCTCCTAATAAGAAACCAACCAATCAGGACATCTATGAACGAACAATTCACAGCATGGGTGTCTCAAGGCCAAGTGTAGTTTAAAAGAGCCAGCTGATGAGATCTGAAAAGTGGATGTGGATGTGACTTGGTATACAATAAACATGTTTGCATAAAAAAAATAAGTGGAAATTCACCTTGTGGCACCTCCCCTTTAAACATAGCTCTCGTCCAAAGGGCACAGGGAGTGGAACCTACCTCTTCAAATGAGTTTCTTTGACAGGGCCCTAAAACTCGATGTTTGATCATCATCTTCCCAATTGCTCATAAATTTGAAACTAACCCCCTCAGTATGGTTGGACGACCCCAGATGGTTTTTCATGAAAAAAAACATATCTCAGAATCTCCAAATTCTCCTAGCCCCAACAGAGGCTGCCTGACGAAGAAACCCTTTCGAGGTAGAGATGTTCCAGTTGAGTGCAACCTGAGATTCGCGGACACCAAAGTTTGGGGGAGAGTACCTGAGTAGTACCACTCATCTGACATGATAAATGGATAGAAACAATTACAGTTATCCGAGCTGGCTAGGCTAATCTCAGATGGTGATCATTGCTGGGTTCCACCGATTTGCCGCTTACATTCACCAACTGATCTGTTGGAGAACCTCCCACACGAAAAGCACTTATTTTTCCTATGTGGCTTATGTATGTCTGTATGTCTGTATGTCTGTCCCTGTGTGTGTGTGTGTGTATGTCTGTATGTCTGTATGTCTGTATGTCTCTCTCTGTGTGTGTATGTGTGTATGTGTGTATGTGTGCATGCATGCATGCATGCATGGATGGATGGATGGATGGATGGATGTCTGTCTGTCTGTCTCTGTCTGTCTGTCTGTAGGTAGGTAGGTAGGTAGGTATTAATGTATATAGTGTATATAGTGTATTGTAATGGAAAAGTAAAAGTAAAAGTAAACGTAATGTAATGTATGGATGGTAAGGTAAGGCAAGGTAATGTAGTGTAAGTTTGTGTAATGCAATGCAATGCAATGCAATGCAACGCAATGCATCGTATGTATGTATGTATGTACGTATGTGTATATATGTATATATATATATATAGTTATACATATACCGCCATGTATACGTAAACATATATTTATATACAGTACCTTCCTCCTTTTCTTGGCCTCCAATTTTCCGCCGAGTTTCTCCTGAGGACCTGGTTCACGCCCTCCTCATCGACATCCACCCGTTGGCTCTTCAGGCGACGCAGCTCTGGCAGCGCTGCGATGGCGCCGAAGCTGCCCAATAAGCGCCAGCAGCTGCAGATGTCCAGGGACCTGTCAGGTGGCACGAGACCTGCCATTCAGAATCAGAATAGTAATACTAATGTGAATAATAGTAACAATAATAACAATGATAATAATAATGATATAATAATGATTATGATTATATCAGCTGTATAATAGGGATACAGTGGGATATGATGGGAATATACATGAGGTGTTGCCATAGTCATGCGCAATCCCCAGCGAAGATGAAGGTTTACAGTTGGGCAAAACATCGAACGAAATGGAGATAGAATGGGTATGTAATGAAATATTTACGGGATAGTGGAATAGATGCTAAAGTCAAAAGGTGGAGCCCCTGGATAGCTAAGTTGGTGAACGTAATTCCAATATCTATGGCTTATGGTAAGGAAATAACTACAGCTAATTGGGTGTATAGACTGTTTCTTGCTGTGGTCAAAATCTGGGATTAATGTGGTATGGTCATCTATCCCATATTTTGAATCCTGGCTTGAGGCGTTGTTCTAAAAGTTTCTAAGTCCCTTTGAAAATGGATTCATCACCATCCCGTTTTATAGGAAATACACACGGGGGTTTGACCAATACGGATGAGCCATAATAATTCACTCACCTGAAATAAGGCTCCATCATTGACGTCGCGAGGTGAGGTCGTTATAGTTTATCCAGGTATATGGCTTATGAACTTCTGGTGATTAAATGGGAATCTAATGGGGATATGTGGGGAACTGTGGGGATATAATAGGGATATAACTGGACAATACGGGATATATAACCAACAAATCAAATCCAAGTCTTATCGAATTTGATCCCTCATATGTGAAGACCATGGCACAGGGCAGGAAGGGCCCCCAAACCATAGTTACTGTAGGTTGATATATACATAACTAGGCTGCCTAGGATTTATCGTAGATATGTCCATAGCTACATGGGGTCACCTTAATGAAGCAGGGTGAATCAAAAGTTCGGAGATTTCAGACGGCTAGGAAAGATGAGATCCAGACCTTGGAAAGAGATAGTTTCCAAGAATTAACAGGGATTCAACAATGCAGCACGCGGAGGTTTGAAATAAAACGATTTAATAACATGATTTAATGGGGAGGCGAGAATTATAAAATTGAAAAGAAAATCACATCCAACAATGAAATGGGGATCCTGTAAAACCAACAATGAAACAAAAAACGGGTTCCACTGAACTAGTGGGATGTGATGTTTCTCAGAAGTTAACCAAATTAGCGGCGATCAGAAGTACCAAAAACAATGCAGAGAGGAGAGGAACCATTTAACAATGCAGTATGCGGAGAAAAGTGAGAAAATCTCGCGAATGGTTCCACCCTGAGGTAAAGATATGGTATCACCAACAGTTGCTGGGATCTCACTACTTGTACTGTGTCTATGAGGGCTTGACATATCTAAACGCGATATAATCATATATAAACTGTATAAACACCACATCACCGTCGGCTTTGGAGATTCCACCAACCCCGAGTCACAGCGGCCTCAGGAAAGGACATTTCGCCAGTGTGGCGGCAAAGGTCTCCGGGAGCAGGTCATTCAGATCTCCCAAGATCAACTCTTCAGTCTTCTCCTCAACGGAGCAGGTGAGGTTTAGCCGGTTTAGCCGTTTAGCCGTTTAGCCCTTCCTGGTACAAAGACAAGTGGATGTGGGTCAAAATGGAAAACCTAGGGGACCACAGCTGTTAGTCTAATTTAGTATTAACAATCCAATTATTGGGGTACCTAATTTTGACCCATACCCAAGTGAGAATACAAGCATATACAAACCCACCAGCTATCTGACCTATCTGTTCCCAGAGCATTTTGCCAAGTCACACAGACCAGGTCCTTAGTGGCGACATCCCGCGATGATTTACCGAGGCTAAGAGGCTAATAGTCAAACAATGGTATTTAAAACAATGGTAAAACAATGTAAAACAATGTAAAACAATGTAAAACATACTAATCTGAATCATATCTAATCATGATTTAATCATGTTCAGATCTCAGAATTGTGGATGGGACTGCCGTGGCCATTCTCTCGTGAACGAAGGCGAGACTCTGGCAGTGGCGTGCAAATGTCACACTCGCTGTAGCCAACATCCAGAGCTCGCAGTTGCAAAGCCTTCTGTTGCAAACACTGCCTGCATTGGTGAACGAACCACCGCGGCTCCTTTGACGAAAATGTTAGTTGGATGTCCACTGTTAGCTAGTTGGTGTGCGGTAGTGAGCTTAAGGGCTTTGCGAGCTAGACAAAGGGTCGTCTTCAGATGGCAATACCTTCATACGTTGAGCTGAGAAGTCGGGGAACCTTGATTCTTGTTTGAGTTACCTTGATTCTTGTTTACCGCCCTCAAAATTGGCTTTGGTGGTGGCGTCAGTATTGTCATTGATAATCCTTTAGGTACTGGGTGAGTCTCTCTTTCCTGGACCGTTTTATGATGTGCTTGCTTTTCAGGTGATGCTGTTGCCGTCAAATTGAAACAATCAAACTGAAATGGCAACACTGTTTCAACCGAGATTTTCAAGGGGCAAAAATTCACACTCCGGTCATCTAACCAGGTTTGGAAAATCGTGAGATGTCAACATTTCCCAGTCGTCTGGTTTTGCCATGTTTTTTGGGAGTTTTTTGGACCATCACTGCATCCAGCTACAAGACCCGCAGGCTGAAGTGATTTCGGCTCGCCCAAAGCTCTTCCAGGCTGCTTGGCAGCTTTTCCTGAGGAAACGCCGACATCCCCACTGGATTCTTGGAATTCCTCGTGGGTAGGTACTGTATGTGTATGACTGTGTATGTATGTACTCATAATTACTCGTATTATATTATATATATATATACAATTATATACAGAGTATGTATATATATATATCCCTCCAAAGCTAAGAATGGGCGGAAAAGAAGAGTTCACCAATGAGGGTCGACTAGGTAACCAGGCAATAGTTGCTCCCTTGGTGACACCATGGCATCCGCAACTTCACCCAGTCTCAAAGATTGTCAGCAAGCTCTCTGGTGCCAAGCCGCATTGCCTGAGTCGGGAAGTCGGTGTCTCTGCTGGTTTGGCCCTTTGTACTATGCATTCAGAAGCATGGCTAGCCCACCCACCATGACATACGGCTATAAAATCACAACTACCCTGGTTTTTACATGTGTTCACAAAAAAATATTGGTTAATCAGTTTATCATCATGTTCCTGATTCAAAGGGCCATAAATTGGAGGCCCATCCCGAGACAAAACCAAATTGATAAATCAAATCCACATTTTGATGGATAAACTCTCCATTCTTGATGGAATAAGATCCCAATGTTTGATGGGTAAACCCGCCTAAATTAAGTAGCAGTGGCTACCTATGATCTCAAAATGGCCAACTCAGTAGGATCCATTGCTACCGCCATGCTGACCCAATTCAATTCTGAATGATACCTCCCATATCAACAAACTAGTTTAACCATGTTGAACCTTAAAAACCTACCGGCAAATCCCCTGGTGAATCATCATTCTCTCCATCAAAACGGCCGTTTTCGAGGTGTCCCAGCTTCATAGATCGAATCCTCACTTTCCATGGTGAAATCTCCATGTTTTGTCGGTTTCCTGAAATGGGGGTACCCCCAAATCATCCAGTTATGGATGTTCCATGAAATAGACATAAACCATCCAGCGAAAAAGGGTATCTCCATTTATGGAAAGCCCCGTTTTTTATATGATCAACCATATTTTTGTTTCGGATTTTGACATAAACCAACCAGCACCATTTTGCGGAGAAACCCCCCATGAATTTCTATGGAACCCATCTCCATCCCCACCACTTCGCCTCAGGTCCAACACGCGCAGCCCCAGCCCAAACGCTGCGGTCGGCAGATCAATTGCCAGCTGCAGGCGATCATAGCCTCTTCCATGTTATGTTCATGGGGATTCACATGGATAAAATGGTGAACCTGGGGATGTAGATGTAGATGTTCATGGGGATTCTGGCAAGACACCCCAAGCACTGTTGAGGAGAAGATGTGCTGACAAGCCAATCTGACAATCACGTCTACAAGATCTTCATACAAGGATCTCTAACAGACTCTAACAGAATCGCACAAGATCGCCATACAAGGACCTTGTAGAAGGCCTTGCAAGATCCTTCTAGAAGAACCATAGCATGGGCATCCCACCAGAGCTGTCATACAATTACCAACATGATATCTTCATGATTTTCAGAGGACCTCTTGGAGCACTCCACCAGGATCACAAGAGAGCAATCCAACATTCGTAAAGTGCAGAGTAGCAACGCGCCACAACGAGAACGATCCGACACGCATAAAGTGTGGAAAGGGTTGCGCAAGCGAATTTTTGCAAATGCACCAAATATTGCATGCGCCACGAAAAATGAAAGTTGAACACGTCAAAAGCATTTAAAAACTATGTTTGACCTAGCTCTTAAGCAGTTTTTCATCGAGGTCTTTCAAGTGTGTTGTGCCTGCCACGAAACATGAAGCTCAGGCATCCGCAGTTTTGCACGACGGGCTCACGAAACAAGCTTTTGTAGGTTTCAAAACATCGTCCAAGTTCTCCACGTATTGCGCCTGCCAAACAAAGTGACCTCGGACGGTACCTCTCATATTGACCTAAGCCTGCCTCATATTGACCTAAGCCTGCCAAAGTTTCAGCAACATGAACGAAATACTGCGCCTGCCACGTGGATGAAAAAGCACCCAAAGTCACCTATCACACAATTCGAGGTTCCGACCCCCAAGGGACAGATCTCTTGCACCTGCCACAGAAAATCGGCTCCAAAAACCCACACAGCATGCAAAGGAGAACTTGCCAGCGCAATAAAGGTGTCCTTGACCCATTGTGGGGGAAGACGGACATGCTGGCCCCTCCCCACTTTTGATCCCATCTTCGATCCACCACCCAAGTGTGAACAAGACACTTTTTGGAGAACAAATGGGGTGTGAATCAACCAAAAATAAATTGCCAAACAACATGGCTACGAACCATTTTTAAGACCAACATCCAAAAAATTGGAGGGTACTGCCCCCAAGGTTGACTACCATATCTCCCACCTCTTGAAGGTTTAACGGTTTAGCCACACTTAAAATGCCAAACGTTGACGCTTCCCAAAAACTGCGGCTCCGGTCCCACAGATTTGGCGCCCGAGCCTTGCCTGGTTTGGTAAAGGTTCCAGAAATGTCCAAGCGCCCAGAATCTGCATGAAGCTCTTTGACGTTGAGCTGTCGGCGTGGCAGCACTTCGTTCGAACTGTTTCCGAATTTCCTGCAAAAACTCGCACGTTGTCGCCCTAGTCATATATATATATATAAATATTACGTATGTCCAGACATACATATTCACTTTAGACTATAGTGATACTTTATCTGTTCCTCCAGTTGCCAACCTGTGGACCGAGTGGACCCACAACTGGGATCTCAAAACGCGCTTCACCCACTATGGCAAATTAAAAAATGGAACACATGAATATCATGAATCATATGTTCTTAGCAATTCGATATTTCTTGGTCCGAATTTTCCACATCACCGGGAGATTGGTCGGTAGCTTCGCCGAGCATCTCCGGCGGCGTCCATTTGCACCAAACGGCATCCACTTCCGCCAGATCATGGTCGCCTACCTGCGGGAGCTGGGGATATTCCAATGTCCAGGATAGATCACTGTGATAGACTAGTTTCAAGTATTGAAAAGTGATATAGATCATATATATATATATTAAATCTATTAAATCTATATGCAGATCTATTTTATGATCTATTGAAGTTGACATTAATTCACATTGATTCACAGAGGACACGACTTTTGGGAGGTCAAAACCAAAATCAGCAACTATTTGGGTGTAAAACAAAAGAAAACGACAATTTGAATGGAGACAATTTGACATACAGTAGAATCCATTCAAATGGATATCCAATATCAAATTTGATATCCAATGTTGGTTTTTCGAAAAATCCCTGAAAAAGTTGTACAAACGCCATTGACAAAACATCACGAGCGAGCTTGCAGAAACAATGGCTACGTAGACGTGTGGTATTACCGAATCACCAAGAAACTGTTCAGATCCTCAATGAGTGTTGACATCCCAAAACAAGGCAAGACAAGACAAAACAAGACAAGAGCTTTTCTATGGCACAACTACAAAATTTGTATCTGGCAAAAAAGAAAGAAACATCTTTAAAAAATGAAATGACAAAAAGCGACACAAGCCTGCAAGGGTCTCTGGCTAGTTGCACTTGAAATCCATAGTGAAATAGGTCACAGCTAATTCAAACCATCGGTTGACAAGCTTGAGAATAATTCTTACAAACTATTCATTGCATTAGTTTGCAATCTGCTTCCATTTCCAGGATGTCTGCGGAAGGGAAAATGATGACAAACCATTGGGTTTGTTCGTGGAAAATATGTTCGGACAAAGTCCTTCATCAATTTTGAAATCCAGATACCCACAGGTCTTGGGGTCTATTGGCCTGGCATGATCAACCATGATTTCCATTATCTCTGTATGAATGATGCCCATACCCAGGCTGGACCAGTGGCTTTATCGGTTGATAAGTTCGATGGCAGTTCACCCTGGCTACCCAGGCCTTGCTTCCGGGTGGAAGCGGTTGACCCTCATGCACCAACCGGGCAAAAACCTCGCCCAGGAGTCCAGATGTGGATGCTTGCTTTGCCAAAAAAATGCTGGAGATTCATACCACAAAAACTGCAGAAACAATTGGGAAACCATTGCTTGGACTATCGGATTATCGCAACAGTGCTGGATCCTGCCAAAATCGGCTGAAACTCGACACTTTGTTCACCTTTCCCATCAACTCACTCATCACCTCGATCACTGAGAAACAAGGAGCTTCGATGCTCCAAAACACCAGCTACGAGAGCGAGTGGGATGTACCCGATTTCGGAGTATTGACTACCAACGTGGCTGACCATCTTTCATTTGTGGTTTATGGAATTGAGTATATATATATATACCCCTGCAAACGGGTGATTTCTGAGGTTTGATAATTGGGGATGGTTTGTGGCATTGTGGTTTCCACCTATTCCGACCTTATCTTATTGTATAAATAACAAAGTAACAGAATAATGATAATGAATACTAGTGGAATGTAATAAACATGTTTTCAGTTGTGGTTTAACATGTGTTAAATATATAGATAGCTATAATATATATATATATACACATTTTGTATTATATATATGTACATATTATATTATATATATTATATATTATATTATATATTATATATTATATATTATATATTATATATTATATATCATATATCATATATTATATTATATTATATTATATTACATTATATTATATTATAATATATATATATATTATATTATATTGTATTATATTATATTATATGATGTTATATTATATAATATTATATTTTATATCATATCAAATCATATTATATTACATTACATTATATTATATTATATTATGTTATGTTATATTATATGATATTATATCATATCATATCATATTATATTATATCATATTATATTATATCATATTATATTATATTATATTTGATTATATATTATATTATATTATATTATATTATAGTAATATTATATTATATTATAGTACATTATATCATACTATATCATATTATTTTTGATTATATCATATCATATTATATGATATTATATTATACTATACTATACTATAATATATTGTATTATATTAGATCATATTATATTATATTACAGTATACTATACTATAATATATTATATATTATATATTATATATTATATATTATATATTATATATTATATATTATATATTATAATATATTATATATTATATATTATATTATATATTATAATATATTATATATTATAATATATTATATATTATAATATATTATATATTATATATTATATATTATATATTGTATATTATATATTATATATTATATATTATATTATATTATATCATATTATATTATATTATATCATATTATATTATAGTATATGTTATATTTTATATATTATACATTATACATTATACATTATATATTATATATTATATATTATATGAATTATATATATATTATGGTATTATATATATATATCCCCAATATACGAAATACCACCAAAAAATGGTTTAGTGCTGGACCTATTCACAATATTCGTGGATCGGGGGCCATACTTCTTGCAATTTTCCACTTTTTGTGCGATGAGATGGGATACCCATAGAAAGGATAACCATCCCCTAAATAAATGGGTCTATCATCTAACTTGTGATGATAGTGTTCTGTTTATCCCATAAAATATGCCCGTTAATATCCCATTGCATCATCTAATTTGACCATGGCACATATGCTTAGCTCCCGGTCTGGTGGGTAACTTCCCCACCTTCCAGGACCATGGATTCTTCATTTCTGGCCGTGAATTTCTAAATTTCCAGAGAATGGTCACGTTCTTTCACTTATAATAGTTATGTTGGGGTATTGCACTTGTTATCGTCCTCATTCTTTCATGGTTCTTTGATGGTTCGATTCCAATTGTTTATGGTTTATCTCCTTGTTTTTGACAATGGAAAATCCTTCATGATTTTCCCAGCACCAGAACCTCCATGTAGTGGGATTTTCAAGCTAGCCATGTCCCATTGCTATTGATAAAGGGAATATATCAGAATAATATCATCCCATTATAATCTACCTATTTTATAATATATACATATATTTTATACGTATATATACATATAATTTATATACATATAATATATATATATTATACCCATTATATATCATGGAACGGGGGCTATAATAAGAGCCCCAGGCCAAGGTCCGCCTTCTCTCCAGGCTTCTTGAGCTCCGCCAAGCGCTGCGCGACGCGGTAGATGTGCTCCCCAGGCTCCACGTGGAGCTCCGCGACGTCGCCGTCCAGCGTGCGCAGCGTCAACAGTGAAGCCGCCATGGCCGTGCGGATGGGGGGATGGCGGGATGGGAGGATGGGGGATGGGGATAGGAAGTCAGAACTGAAAAATCAGAAGATAAGGATAGATAATGCTAAAAAATCAGATTCAAAGTCTCAACTTTCGGTTTCTGTGTGAGGGGTGCCACATGATATGGTGGAAGTAGCAACACAGTCTGTCGCTGGCAAGTCGCTCAAGAACAGCGGCACCCTGGTTTTGCACCAGGAACGTGTTGCAGAAAATAAGACACCAGTAGGTTGGTTTCAAACTCCTACCTGGTTTTTCGATGCAGATTCATTCACAAAGGCACTGCCATCGCACTTGGCTTCGGGCGGTGTTGTTGCTTCTGGTTCTGCATTAATAGCTCCACCTGCATCGACAACAAGGTTTTCGACCGCTCAAATGGGCTCCGGCTGTCTCTAATGCTACAACCTGCCGGAAAATCGACATGGATGGAAAGCCGCTATGATCTAAAGTGTATAGTAGCAAATATAACTTAACAATTTTTAAATATCTTAAAATATCCAAAAATGACCTCAAGGTGTACATTTCAAAGGGTCTTTAACTTTGATCCTATGGGGCCACAGCCCATCCAGGGTCCACAAAAATCCCCGGCGCTCAGCCGCCTCGCAGTCTACGTCCGTCCCCTACACCGCCCTGGACCAAGTGCGCTGAGCAGGGAGCATCACTTGGGATCGTTCGGGAGGAAAAAGTGATGGAAAAAAGATTTAAAAAAAAGGGAGGATGATGCGAAATTCCAGTTCTGTGGGTTTTATCATCCCAGATCCCCGTGGCCAATTGTTCTAGCAACCCTACTAAGACCTGTGCTTTGCTGCTCCGATTGAGAAGACCCTGCAGCGTGCCTGTCTGGTGTTTGCCATCCCGCTCGACTGCGATGCGTATGTTGAGGCCAGCTGATGCTCGCAGATCTAGAATCATCCATAGCAGTCATAGCCAACTTTTGAGCATCGCTGTGCAGTCCTTGCCTGCTTTCTGTGATCATTGTCACTGTTTTCTTCGAGGTTTCTGCCAGAGTTTTGTTCATTCTTTGTACATTTGTTTCTTTGCTCTGAGCCTTCCGTCAAATGCATCAAATACATGCAGGATGGATGAACTCCGCTGAAGTTCATCATAAATCACCCACCTGAAAGGGGTAGGGAAGCAGAGATTTCCACCGGGCTGAAATCATCTTTTGCCGCAGCAGTTCTCGTTTGGGTCATTGAGCCACTGAATTCGTGATGGCATTTGTGGCATCCATGATGCCTCGTTTGGAATACTCTTTGGTGGATGTTATGGTTTTATACTCCCTGAATTTGGATTTGCTTGAAAGGACAAAAGAAAGAGACCTACAAACTGCAACCGCGGCTCGCAAATGCCACCCTTGCACCTTATGGACATGTTTTGCAGCTGTGGACTGACAGGCGTGGGAAACTATGCAAACCAGTAAGTGATTTGTTCAGTAGGGACACCTTGAGCAGACCGCTTACCCTGAGCTCTGGGCTGTTAGAATTGGAGGGAGCCCCAGTTGGAATCAGTTCACGTCACATGTCTTAACCATACCACTGTTTGACCTTTCAATGCCCAGTTCGATGCCCAGATCTCCCAAAAGTTCCCAGGTCCGTCCACGTGCGCTCCAAAGAGGCGCCGCATCAGGCGTCCCAGTCCTGGTTGTTGACCCCAATCTCAAAAGGAGTGACTGGCAAGTCCTTCTCATAGGCCCTTTCATGTCTGATATCTTTTGCGGAAGTGGTGAATTCTAATCCTGGATCCCTTACCGGGAACTGGCTATGATTGGCTCCAAGCAGCAACCAAATGAATGTCCTACATGTCTTTAAAGAAATATCAAGTGACTGACCTCTCTTACCTCTTCAGCAGACAACTTCGATCCTGATTTCCCACCCTCCGACATCACCAAGAAGCACTGGAATCTGCGCGATCCCTGTCTTCAGGTTCATCTTCAAAGCCGAACTCATCCATGAGTTGCCTTCATCATGCGAAACATCTTTTGTGCCTGTCTCTACTTGAGACCCCTAAAAAGGACGACCATCCATCTTTGAGTCGTCCTTAGGGCAGGAAACTAGTCTTATAATGTTGTCATATCATGTCATATCCCATTTATAGACACTGTTCCCATTAAACCCTACATTTCGTGCAGGATTTTCCAGCTGCCGCACCTGTCCCGTGCACTGATCTTCGCCTTCGGCGGGCCCAGTGGCTTGGCTTCACATTTCGAACCACCAAAAGTCATCCAGACTATCAATCTCTATCAATGGTACAGTAATGGTGTCCCATCCTCCCACTATTAATTAATATCCCCCACAAGGCCCACAAAATGAGCAATTCCAATACTAAACTGGGGCTTCGTTCGGGTATATGGTGTCCATGGTTTCCTTGAAAGCGCGGAACAAAAAATATTAAATATGCTTTCAAACTATGGTTCTTGTTTCCTTACGGCCATCTGTGCTTTTGTTCACAAGAATTCTGTGCCATGGCCGGACAGCCGGACTCTGCAATCGCCTGCCCAGCACTCTCTGCCCTGAGTTTCGCAGATCCCAGCGACTCCCGCGGGAAACATCACGTCAAGAGTTATCAAAAGGGATCTACCCTTGGAGCCTTGGAGTCTTAGAGAATCTTAGAGAATCTTAGAAGCATAATTTCTGTTCTCTAGCGGTTTGGCTCATTTCGAAATGCAGCATTGCGAGTTCATCATTCGACCTCTGCAAAAACGTCTGAGCGACTACCAAGTGGCTGTTGATCACGTTGGCCCGCGTCCTGTCAGGAGACGAAAATGAATGAAAATGAACCAAGTACAGAGGTGAGGATCATTTACGCGCTCTCTAGACAATATTGACCTGGGTCTCCAGTCCTGACCGGCTAGGTTTGCATCATGAAACCATCATCCGTAGAGAGGTCCTGTATAGTGGTATGCCCAATCTGTTAGTGATTTCTGGGACTAATGGATCCATGAATCAGCACAAAACTTTGGATGGTTATGGCTTCCAAATCGGCCTGGCCTCCCCTGGATGGATTGTTTGAAGCTCTCTGATTCGCTACTCGGTGGATGCAAGACCCATTTTGGGGCTTAATTCGTACCCCATTTCATTGGCCATATGTCAATATGCATCAAATCAGTACCCCTCTTTGTTGATTTCACCAGTTTGTTGCTCTGATGGGAATGGATCGAAACTTTGTGCGTCCCAAGGTGGTTAAATCATGTTCAATACAACAACCATACTCCCACTAATAGTTGCCATCGAATGGTGGAAATGATTAAAATCACCAGTGGATAGAATGGGTGTTTCCATGTTTTCCCATCACTTTCAGGTACCAAAGCCCCAGATCCCAGATCTCCTGTGCCGGTGGTGCAATGGACGCCACCGGCGGCGCCACCGGGGACGCCACAGGCGCCACAGGGGGTGCCACGGAGGCGGCTGGGGGCACGATGGACATCACGGGCTTCTCCTGGACGATCGTGAGGTTTGAAGGTTTGTTTTGCCACTCAAAAACAAGATAAAACAAGTAGTGTGGGTAAAACAATGCCATAAACCACCCATTTTATACCACCTATTTATGGTGATGACTAAGGGATGGTTTATCATGTTTTAACCACAGTTCAGTAAATTTGGGTCTGATGTATTCTTGCGTTTACCACATCACACACTTGACACATTTCAATGGCAAATATGTTGGTGCGGGTCAAACATTTTGGTGCACAACGAAAACTTGGCTTGATCGGCCACCCTCGGGATATTCACCAACGATGGGGTTATGAACTGAACAAGCTGGGGGCAGCTGGATTCTACAGTAAGAAGACCATGGGTACTAAGAGGCAAGAAATGATCCGTTCAGCAAGTATGAGGAGAAAGCAACAATCACCCCTGCGATGAACATATCACAAAATGCTTTGTGAGAGGAGTACCCCTGCAGCAAACAGACAATGGGAACCACCAAACCTGTGCAGCGTGGTATTCCCCGCTTTTCCCATCTCCTCAGCGAGGGTGGGTAAAGGTTCTGGCCTGCACCATTTCGGGCCCCGTTTTGATATCATCAACATTGATCATCTAAAAATAATGGCTTAGTGAAGCTAATATATAAGTACATATACATATACACATATATACATATGTACATATGTACATATACACATATACACATATATACATATATACATATATACATATGTACATGTGTACATGTGTACATGTGTACATATATACATATAAACATATACACATATACACATATACACATATATACATATATACATACACATATACACATATACACATATACACATATGTACATGTACATATATATATATGATTATATGTGCACATGTTGTTATATCCATTATTATTGTTATCATTGTTGTTGTCATTATCTATACATATATATATATATCGAGAGAGAGAGAGAGATGCACTATACATATATATATATATGTATGTATGTATATATATATATATGCTATTATATATATATATATTTATTCATTTTCTCACGCATACATACATGTGTGTATATATATATATGTAACTATTTTTCCTCTTGATCTTCTTGTGAACTGGCTATGTATTGGGGATCCAGACCCCAGTTGCTAGCCATGTCCGGACACTCACGTTCTGAGGTCCCTTGCTCATCACCACCTGTGGCTTTCAGGCATGGTCAAGGATCCTCCGATGGGATTAACTGGGAAATCACATCAATCCATATCATAGGCACTATAAAGATACCCTGTGGTTATTTAATGTAGCTATGGAAAATGGCCCATTTATAGAGTTCCTGAAAATTTTGATTTTCTGTAACTACGTTAAGTAACCAGAGGGTATGCCCATGATTATCTCAAGGTCGTACCAGGGACCATCAGTGCCACAGCTCTCACCTTCTTCATCCCAGGAGTTGGCATCATCTTCCTTTGCTCCGTGGGAGCTCATGGGGGGTCGATTTTTTCCCACAAGATCTTAGTTCGTTGGTTTTTTCTACGCACCAAACGTGCGGAAAC